GACTCACCACATCGGAAGCCAAAAGAATGATAACACTTACCAGGGAAGGCATTCAACTTCCCATGGAACTTTGAGATGAGACCCAGATATATCGATAGAGCTTCAAACGCTGATTACAAATATGGAAACTAAAACTGCAAAATGAACCTGCCAAGGAAGTTGTGAGCAGTCAAAGTTGGCTGGAAGTAAAGCATTACACTAGCCTCCGGGCTTTCAAAGTCGCCGTGGAGTAGTGGTAGTGCTCTCGGAATTTGCACTCCAACGGGAAGAGAGCTTATGACCTCCAGGGTGAAGAGCGAGGGCACCACCACTACTCCGCGGCGACTCTGAAAGCCTGGGTCCAGCACGGTTCATATGCAATGCTTTACTTTAGCCAACTTTGACTGCTCACAACTTCCTTGGCAGGTTCATTTTGCAGTTTTAGTTTCCATATTTGTAATCAGCGTTTGAAGCTCTATCGATATATCTGGTCTCAATTCAAAGTTCCATGGGAAGTTGAATGCCTTTCCCTGGTCAGTGTTCATTCTTTTGGAGATACGCCGTGCATTCGACTTCCATCCCGAACAGCCGTCACATCTGAACGCGACAGTTTATGCAGTGACTTCAAGCAGCTCTATCCGAGGTGTCGCTGCTTTTATATTTCCTGTCTAGTCCTTTGCTTGGTACACCGGAGCTGAGGAAAGCTTGGTTGGGTTCAGAGAGATTCTTTCCTAAATAAAATTCCAGGAAACTAGGCTCCACATGCCATTACTCCATCTGGCTCCTTACTATATGTATAAGCACCTGAACTTAGCCGCACTATTCCAGATGTAGAAGCAAAACGGTAAGGTGATTAAAGGAGTAAAGTGTGACGGTGAGATAAACAGAAAATCGCAGAACCATTTCGTTGAAACAGTTCCTCCTGTGAAACATCGCACGGTCTGCTAGCTCAGAAAAGTGATACTCTTGCTCCTCACGACCAGTTTTGAGGGCAACTTCGACCTTAGGATCTCAATATTTCCCCATGTTTTCCCTAATGAGTCCTATGGTACCTTCGCCGCTACGTAGCCATCTGTCTCATCGCCAAGACTTAATCTGGCGATGAGAAAGATGGCCACGTAGCCAGAACCCCATGTATTTAGGTCCCTGTTTCGCAATTTTTATCACCGCGCTTGAAAAGGAGGCTCTTAATCAAATGAAACTGTTTCGGCAGTTTCATTTGCTCTTTTCTTTACCTGAGTAATCAATTAGCACCTACTGCTCCAACTTTGAACCCATCACCCCACTTTTGCTATCGCGGAATTTGCCTTTAATAAAAAGGTGCATCCGTTCAGGGAATACTTCCATTGAACTTCGCGCTGTCTCTACTGTTCCCATTCAGTTTTCAGTAACCATTTCCATTAACTTTGCAGAGAGTGTAACCTATAGCGGACTTTACAGTGAAAGGACAGCCTATTAGAATTCAGGGTAGATGGTGTCAGTGGCGTAGGGATGAAGAAATATTCATGAGAAGCGGTTAAGAACCCCAGAAATACGACCCTTCTCT